AAAAATGTGGTATTCTCATATTATCGAGTTATCTGAGCTTAAAATAGGGTTTATGTAGCAGTAAACTTTTGTTTAATAGCTCGAACATAAAATGTTAACATTCTGATCAGCCGTTACATTATGAATGAATATTAGTGCGTGCAAATATTTACTACATTTGCTACTATATTGTCATTGATCCGAAAAAAGGTGACGGTGTAACGCTTCAGTGCTCAAAAGCCGCGTGTATCATGGCGTGTAAACATAGCTTTGACCTGGGTTGGGTTAGGTATTCGGTCGACATCACTCTATCGTTACTCTGCAATTCATAATGATTGGGAATTTATTCATTTTCAGTTAAATATTACCAACTGGATGTTTCTGTATTTATTTGTAATTTTTGTTTTATGAAACTTTGTACGATATTCATTATTGTATACCTTATTTGAAAATTTTCATAATTAATGAAATAATTTATTTTTACTGAAAGTTTTCATCATAATTAGTAAGCAGCATAAGTTATAAAATTTATGGAATGTGATTGTATGTATGTATGTGAATGTATGTTTTCTATTTTTACAACTATTTTCAAATCTTATATCTTTTTAAACAGTTAGTAAAAAAATGCCTGCGCTAGTCTTGTACCTATAGAAGTATATATTTTTATACTGAATACATTATATTACATATTGTGGCCTAGTTCTTTATTACTTGATCATTTAAGATCATACTTTCACTGTGAAAAAGCCTGTAGGCTATCAACCTCCTTACATAAACTAGCCATATAACACAGACACATTTTAATAAAAAGTATATTGTCAAAATGTCAAATTAATTCGCTTGCAAATTACTGATTTAAATAAGTTGTTAAATTAATTATTATTTGTTATTTTTAATTCTGATATTATATACACCGTCATATATTCAATCTTTTATTAATATCACTCCTTCTGTATATCAACACGCCAACCATAACCACACTGGTGACCCCGACGTGATTGGTAGTGGCTAAATCCTTGAAAATAAATATTTTGTCACTTCTGTGACGTGAAGCAGCAACAGGTTTAATTTTATCTGCAAATGTACGTAAACGTGCTAGAAAATCTGTTACATCGGTCGATCCTTCTGAAGAACGATCGAAAAATTCACCAGGCAGTCTTATCGGCTCTCCATAAATAAGATCTGCCGGAGAAGCTTGTAAGTCTTCCTTAAAAGAACTTCGAATACCTAATAGTACCCACGGAAGTGATTCCGTCCAAGAACTATTTGCATGGCACATGATTGAAGTTTTAAGTTGCCTGTGAAATCGTTCAACAAGACCATTACAAGCTGGATGATAGGCTGTAGTTCGTTTGTGTTGAAACCCGGTCATCTTAGACAAATGTTCGAACATTGCCGACTCAAATTGACGACCACGGTCTGTAACAATTTCTTCAGGACAACCAAATCTAGAAATCCAGCCAGAAAGTAACGCCTTAACGACAGATTCTGCTGTAATATCCATTATAGGTATTGCTTCCGGCCATCTTGTAAATCGGTCAACAGCAGTGAGACAGTACCGATAACCTTGAGATGAAGGCATAGGACCAATAATGTCAATGTGCACTATTTTAAATCGTGCTCGAGGTAAGTCGTAAGTGCCTAATGAAGTGGATACGTGACGACTTACTTTAGCACGTTGGCAAGCTATACATGACTTAGCCCACAATCTGCAGTCCTTTCTGATGCCAGGCCAAACAAAGCGCTGAGCTATTAATTTAGCTGACGCGTTAGGACCAGGATGGCTCAGAGAATGCAGACTGTTAAAGATTCTCTTCGAAATGTCTTGGGTACGAACGGCCTAGGAGTTGCTGTACTGATGTCACAATACAAGGAAACGCAACTTCCAGGTAATTCTCGTTTTTCAAGACGCAAAGAATTTGGATTAACTAAAAAATGAAATAATTCGGAATCAGTATCCTGTGCTTGTGCTATAGCCACTAAACTGCTTGGTGATTGTAGCTCTTCAACACGAGATAATGTATCAGCTACCACATTATTCTTGCCGGATATGTGACGGATATCAGTGGTAAACTGAGAAATATAATCTAAATGCCTATACTGCCTAGGCGAGCAGTTAACTTTCCGTTCATGAAAAGCAAAACTGATCGGTTTATGGTCAGTATAAATTATAAAATGTCTAGCTTCGAGCATATGACGAAAGTATTTTATTGCTTCATAAAGGGTAAAGAAGTCACTGTGTCTATCGATAGGCTTAAACCCGCTTTTATTCTCAGTGACCAACACGAGTCTACCAATCAGGATTGCAATATTACCACAAATCGTACTACTCGTTTTGGACGTCGTGTACATTTTCCAGACTTTTATCGCCCTTAGCCAGGTCTCAAGGGGGGAGTAATGTAGGCTATCAACCTCCTTACATAAACTAGCCATATAACACAGACACATTTTAATAAAAAGTATATTGTCAAAATGTCAAATTAATTCGCTTGCAAATTACTGATTTAAATAAGTTGTTAAATTAATTATTATTTGTTATTTTTAATTCTGATATTATATACACCGTCATATATTCAATCTTTTATTAATATCACTCCTTCTGTATATCAACACGCCAACCATAACCACAAGCCTATAAAAACTCCCCATTAATGTATAAGATGGCGGTGCGATAGCCCAGTGCACAATGAATTTTATTCTGCTCGGCAAAGTCCTGACTAATCCAGCGTTACTTTCACTATAATAATTACATTCAACTCACAATTAATGCCCTTAACTAATTGTTTTTATATACATAAATGTAATTATTATTCAATAATTTTATTAATTCAGTGTCAATATATACAGACATATCTATGTATATGTCTATAAAATAATAACTACTCACGGTATTTTTTTGTCATTGACAGTAGTATTTTCTTAATCATGTTATTAAGTTAAATGTATAAATACATATCCTTTATTTATTAGTTAGCTAATATTGATGTTCGATATATAAGGATAATTAAACTAATAATGATATGTAAATTATATTTTGGATAAGCCTACAGCCACGAATTTACCAATTTACAGAAATATATATCTATGTCATAGTATTATAGATACAACGAAACTTACATGAGAAACTTTGCCATAGAAACATCACTAATAAATTCAATAATACGGGTGTATTAGTTTATAATTTATTATCTTTATTTTATCGACTTTGTTTTATACTATGTAATAGTAATAATGATGATTAGTAGAAAATGTTTTTTCATATTACTAGATAAACAATGAAATTGACATAATGCTTCGCTAGTTCTATTTCCTGATTTTAACTGGTGTTAACTACTGCTCCAAATTTAACCACAAACTGAACGTTTCCAAATTTATGCTAAACGTCACAGCTGTTGAGGTTTGCAATTAGTGTCATCAAGATGTTAGACGGTTCAATAAATAAATAATATATTATGTTAATTTCTGACTAGATGGGTATAAACAATAATTGTAATGATGTTGTTCGTAAACTTACAACTCATTGCACCATTTATACTAAAAATTATAAATTAAAAAATCAAAAATAAAGCGACATTGTTTTTAATGTTTAATTCCACATTTAAACTACTTCTCGGACAAACCTCTAATTTTGTAATGTATGAGCTTTATGAATTCAATAACAATGTTGTACCTCATGCAAATTTTAAGTAAAATTACTGTCATGTTATTTCATCGCCAAAAATTGGTGGAAAAAACTATGATTTAAAAACAAACTAACTTTTTGAATTATTTACTATGTATTTGTCATACAAATGAAAAAATAAACTTTGTTTACTTCTTAACTGTTGTAGCTGAAAAATTCTGGGTTTATGTAAATTCATCAACCATTTTTAGTCTTCATTTTACATTATGATGTCTCTTTTTCTAGAAATAGATTGAAGATTGCAGCAGGTGAGCGGTACGAGGAGCCGCATAAACAGAGTCGCTATTATTAAAAAGAAAATATTGTATATATTTTACAGTAACACTTAGTTTTAAACTTAGAGGAAATTTATATTAAGCCCTTGTACAAGCATGAATAATAATAGTAGACAATAAAATTACAAGAATAATTACCCTTACTTAGTGTAGCACTGTCTCTTGACTTTAAAGCTAATTTTAAGGTAGCCCTTTTTAAGCCCTATCATTTAAAGTTACCTAAAGTAATGTGGGTATTACTTGAATTACTTCAAAATAATGGTTTCGGCAGTCTAGCATTCTAGCACACCGCTTTACTTCCGATGGTCGCAGGTATGATTCCTCGCTCAGTACAAACATTTGTATTCGTGAGTATGATAGTTTATATCGTTCTGGATAAAATATATATTAGTTGTTTACTATCCATAACCTAAGCTCTATTCACCGTGGGACTAGTGACGCTGTGTTAATTGTCTAGGGTTATTTATTTACTTTAAACTAAGGCCTTAGTTAGAATCTGACTTACTACAAAACTTTTGGATGAATTCTCAACTGAAAAAATAAGATTTTTCAATTTATATATTAATCAACTGACTATTATTTGTTACTTATTTTGTAATATTTTTCATTGCACCTAAATTTGTTTGATTTTCACGTACAGAAAGAGTGAATGTGGGTGTAGAAGTACATTTAAAGTTACTCAGTAGTAAATGTTTTTCTCGGATTATGGGACATTAGCCGGACGGCTACATTCGTAAATTTAGATCCCACACAAAGGATATAAGGGTGTAATAAGCCCATTTTCTATGTTACAAATTCAATTTGGTACATAGCTTATATTTTAAGGTTCGCTTGTTTGTTGCTCAACTAAACGATATTCGCTCATGTCAACAAATTAATGAATACTAAATGTATAGCAATATATTGAAAAGTAAAGTTAATTAAAATAATTCTAAATTCCTTTTCAATAAATTACTAATTTATTTGACTGCTATTGCGCCTCTTAGTGAAATACAGTCAAATATACGATTACTATGAAATATTTTTGTTGACACAATATCTTTAACAGATTGTTTTGTTTGCAGGGCAAAGAACATGGTCCTTTGAGAAATTCTGCGGCTCAACTCTCTTGGTTTTCCAGAGTTCGGCGTCTGCCTCGGCCATCTCATCGTGTTATAGACCCTAACGAAGGTAGAATCTCTGTATGCTTTATACGACTACAATAAAATTCATTCAGTTAAAAACATGATTTGAACTTTGTATATTTGATTGACTCTTAGTGGTAACATGGATATAAGTCTATTATGTTGTCAAGAGGATTAAAAAAAAACTTTGCATAGTTTCAATGTATGCTAGATACTAATGTCATATCAATATCATTTCATCATACCTTTCATCAACATCGTGATTTCAGTTAGTAGAGATGGATTGAATTAGAGAAAATTTATTACAATCTATCGAGTGGCACCTACACATTAAAAGCAATGGATTGAAAAAAACTTTATAAAGTCATTCGATGAACATTGAAATCGTCAAATAACAAATTTATTCGGTATTAGTTTGAATATCAGAATTATCTGGGTGCACAGTCGTTTATATGCTGACATACAAGAATTATACTGTAATAAGGACTAGCGACACCGTGGGCGCTATATTACAATCAGCTTGAAATTACTCATATTATACTCGTCATTATATATATTCGGTACTTGAAGCCTTACCTTTAGTCAACACAGAAGTAGGTATACCCCAGAGACTGATAACTATAAAAGATTTTGGCTGATTTTATGTTATCTATATTATCCATTTCTGCTGTAAAAATATCAAGTACATTATCTGTATGGTACTGGTGATATTTTTATTATATAAAAGGGTAATACAACTAGTTTAATTTCAAAAGAAATAAACTTATGCATTGAAAGGATCTTTATTACATTTGTAGTATAATTATCCTTGCCTTTATAAGCATTAGTTACCATTTTCTACTAGTTAGACCATCAGCTTGTTTACCACTCTCAACGCTTTTAAGGAAATGAAATCTAACTTGAGATCTCAGTTTTCAAACGATTGGCAAGCACAGGCGATAGCGTAATTTTCATAAAAGTCCTTTTTATAGAACAAAATACACTGCCCTCATTTATATTTCAGAGAACTAATGCTTGATGTTATAAGTTAATAACGTAAACTAAACTTATATAATTTTTACAGATTGTTTTCTCGTGACGTCAGAGGAAGGAAAATTGTATTTTAAGTCACCATCGGATGAACCAAATGTCTGCGGTATATACATGATAGCCGAACCTGATACTAGAATCCAGGTCACTTTCAACTATCTAGACGTACCCTGTGACAATGGAGGCCTGGTCGCGGTAAATAATTATTCCTTTCTGTTATTGTTTATGTTTTTTCCGCCCAATATTATAAACGTAGAAGTTCGTGAGGATGTATGAATAATTGGATAGATATCTGAGACAGAATTTTTACACAAAAATCTTTGTATGGATTCTAATGAAATTTGGTATATACATATATTAAACCCTAGATGACACAAATAATATCTATTTTTTTAACCGCTCGGTTGGCGGTAAAAAACTTCAACGAGATCGTAAATATAATATTGAATGACTTTTATTCAATTCAGAATACATGAAATACAAAAATTCATTCAACCAAAGATTGGAAAATGGGACTTATATTTTTGTAGTTTCAAAAATAATAAATATATTTGGTTTTAATTACAATGATAATTCTTTCAAACATATCTGTGTGCCGTTAACTGTACCTATTTCAATTTTAGTCGAATTGACTCCATTTAAACTTATATACAAAGAACATTCAAATAATAAAATTATGTATATTAATTACCACTTAAAATATATTTTACATGAATATTTTTACCAACTTTAATTAATTATAATTTTTTAATTAATTAATTACCAAGTATTTAATAAAGCCGGTCTTAATATTATTATGACCGGGTTCATTACCCGTCTGTTATTACTTATAGTAGACCTCAAGGTATGACTATAAGTAATGACAGATCGGTCAGGTGAGCAAGCATCTGCATATTAAGCATATTCTTTTACATACTGAAACTATCACAACATAGGTAAGTAAAATCCTTTCTCAGTTTTAGACCGGCAGCAAAAAGTAATTTGTTTTGCCACTGCTACATTTACGAACACAATCTGTCAACCTTACTACGCGGTTTGTTCGCAATTCTCGCATTTCGACTAGGTACATTTACTATAATTGTATTTTTACGTGCCTTTCTCTAGCTACCACGTGTTTCATATGTACTTGTACTTGTGTACAATGTGAGTTGTATTTGTTCAGTTTTCTTATCTTAAAATAAAGTAACGTTAAAAATAATTTTATAATATACTTTATGTATTTACACTAGACATTACATATTTCCTTAAATCTCAGATCTCTTGGCTGTCTCTGTTCTTGCTGTATATATGCTGAACATTATGTCTCATAAGACGCCGACTATGTTTACGGACGTACCTAAACAAAGAATGACTGTATATTCGACAGTTTTATTAAATACAACTTTGTTGAATTTTATGATTTACTTCTTCATAGAGAAGTCTTTTGTAACTATAATACATCTAATATGCACAACAATACAATCTGTCTATTGTCCTTTTGTTATAGTATTAGGAAAACGAAAATTATCTAAAAGGGGCTTTTATTTTTTTATTATGTCAAAGAAGCTTTTATGTTAAATAACTTATATGAATACATTGATAAATGTGAATGTAGTGCTAGAGTACAATTTCAACTGAATCTTGACCGTTCTAATGTATATACTTAGGTAGATACATAAAAATAATTCACTTAGTTTATAGATTACATTTGATAAGATACATAAATTGCAACATTTTAAATTTTCATCGTTATCAGCTACTGTAGCATATTGTGAATTACAAATTAATTGTTGTTCCTGATTTCTGCCATTATTATTAATACATTATATTATTATGTGCTGCTTTTAACTATAATTGTACCCCTATATATTTATTGCAATTATGAGTATGTATGTACATATATTGTATATTTATCTATCATGCAAATCCCGACAGACGTTATTAGATGAAAAATAAAAATTCTATTAATCTTTATTAAATTACACTGATTGTGGTGACAAGAAATAACTGTCCGCACTTCATACTGATTGTGGTGTCGTTAATCGATTAATACGTAATTTGTCTAGACGTATCGATATTAATTGATTTCATTTAATCAACCTAATAGTTTAAGTTTATAGTTGATGATTCAGTTCATGTTCCAATCTAGGCTAATTATTCCTTATTTGAATTTATAAAAATATTAGATACTCTTAATTGTCCGAGTGCTTTTGTCACTCAAATCAAAATAAGAATGAGGATTCCAAATACTATTAGTGTTATGTCTATTTATTAATTACTAGCGACCCGCCCCGTATGCAATGTTGATACTAAATATACCTAATTACCTAAATTTATCAGTGTTACTGTATAATATTATGCACGTAATATACATATAAACCTTCCTATTGAATTACTCTATCTATTAAAAAACCGCTTCAGAACCCGTTGTGAAGTTTAAAAGATTTAAGCATACATAGGGACAGACAGCGTCAGCGACTTTATTTTATACTATGTAAAGATTAGTACAATATTGTTGTATACACACATCCAACAAATATTTGCTGCATGTTGGTTTTATAACTATACAATCTAGTTACATAAAATAATGCTACTTACATAGAAATAAACGAGTACTAAAATGCTATTCCAAAAAATACGCACCGACGATTCCTATTAGACTGAAAGCCAAATTAGTAAAAAGGGTGAACTCGGGTCAGTCTATTATCACACGCATTCGGCTATTGTCACATAGTCTACTAAAAAGTTAGCTGAGTTTCGATATTTATGTGACATATCATTGATATATTACTTTTATATGATTTAATATAAAATATAACCAAATGGAGCCAGAAATCTAACCTTGTTTCAACAAAAATGCGTTTGGGATAGGTCTTGCGAAATATATTTTACTGAAAATACTGTAATACATAAATTAATTGTCCCTTCCTAAAATCAGTACATAGTATATAAAAGTATATAAAATTTTATACTTTGTAAAATATCTAATATCAAATGAATATATCGTCGAGTTACTGAGACAGATAAATATGGAGAAATTATAATAATTTAATACAATAACAAACGCAAAGAAGTATATGAACTAATCTTAGGATTCCAAAGGAGGACGTGAGACTCGGGAGTTGTACCATAGTAATACAACAATATCGGTAACGCTGTAAACGTGATAACAAATAGTGTATTATTAAAAGATAAATTATTATTATTAGTGGAATGTATACCCACATGTACCCAAATAGGAGTACTACTAATGTGTATACCAAGCCGAAATAAATTGATAATAATTACGAAGCTGTCCAGCTTCCCCAAGAAAATAAGGAAAATTTTGTATTAGTACTAGTAACAGTTGTTTGGACTTTTAGTATTAAATCGCATGACCGCACTGTTTATATGTAAATAATTTTAGTAATTTGACTATGCTTCTAAGCACAATTTATTTAATTGCACGCTTTTAAATTAATTTAAGCTGAAATGAAATATAAAAATAATGTAAATGTTTGTATTCATTTGTTTCTAGTTCTAAGTAGGGGTATAGGTCTGTATTTTTAAAATGTATGCAATAATAAGAAAAAATCCTTATTAGTTAGCAATCTTTGCAACGTAGTGACTCAATATATAAAGTCTCGAAAACCAAATAAAACAAGTGAAATAACACTATCGTTTTAAATATTTTTAATAAGCAAATTTTGATATCTTTCGAATAAATATTATGTTCATTCATTGACAATGCCGTATCAATTATGAAAAATTATGTTATTGGGTAATCTAATGGAGAGAACAATATTTTATAATTTAACTAGCTACTCACTCCGGCTTCACATGGGTGTACATGTATAATATATATAAGCCTTCCTCAAGAATCACTCTATCTAATAAAAAAATCCGCCTCTAAATCCGTTGCGTAGTTTTAAAGATTTAAGCGTACATAGGGACGGACAGACAGCGACAGTGACTTTGTTCTATACAATGTAGTGATTTAGACAAATTGACAAGAGGACTAGTAGCCGATAATGTATACAGATCCATGAGAAAAAAGTAGGTCGAGAGCTAGTTAATCGTGGCTCTCCTCATTGAACGGAGCAAATTGGCAATATTCTCAAAAGGCCAATTTACGAGTACTCGACACCAATGAGCGTACATGGAGAGTTGTATACTGAATTGAGAAGAAAAAAATAAGTAACATATTTAGAAAAAGTTGTTTACGTTTATTTATATTACTGCTTGTAGAAGTATTCGTAAATGGTTCTATGCAATATCTGAATTCTCGTAATTAATCTGGGACAAAAGTTATACCAATGTAAAGTTATTTTACTTACTTTTTTAATACTGTGTACAATTTACACAGTCTCAACAGTTGATTGTTAATTTTACTAATGCTGCATACATTTAGTATTTTTACTGTAGGTAGGTACATTTTTAAGTATACCCTTTTTTCGTATACATATCTATTACCTACTAACTAGATATATGATAATATGTTTAAAAATAAGATACAGAGGTATTAGCAACATATATAATAGTTACTGCTATTATCTATTACAATGAACCAGAGATTAGCTTCCAAAATTACTTGCTATTATTGGTTTGTTCCTAATATTATATTGAATATGTTTCCATTTATGTTCGCTTTGTAAGTAATAATGCTATCTGGCTATACAGGGGCGTGTTTAAATAGAATGAGAGCTTGATATTTGTCACAAGATGAGCTTGTGGTTATATCTAAATTAACATATGTACATATTTTGGCTATATTCAAATTCTGCTGAATATTAATGCACTATTTCTTTTGTTGAAAACAATTCCTATTAACTTAGATAGCATTTCAGATTGCAGTATAAAGTTGTAATCTAAAACTAACATTTAATTGTATCGTTAGAGTATGGACATAAAGGAAGAAAAATGGAAATTATATGAAAATACTTAATACAAAGACAACATCCAGATCATTACGCCCAGAACGTGTATGAAAAATCGAATCAGAAGATAAAGATGTCTATGTAACCAATACTATCATAATGTTTTTAGACTAATATATTGGCTTCTCTGTTATGTGGTACCATTGTGCGTACTTGTCGCCACTCCTAAGAAATATGGTAAAATTAATCTAAGTATAATAACGGCCACGTTCCTGCTTTATTTTTATTTAGGAATATAATACCAGGTACAGTCTGCAACAATAGTTGATGAGCGTATTCTGTTTTCTGACTTCCCTATACAATACTATATAAGTTATTGGCTTAGGAAATTAAATAGTGCCAATTTAATCTTAAGATAATATGCTATATACGTAACTATGCACCAGATTAAAACAAATTGTTAACAATGAACTAGGTTTAATGTTGTGCCTCCAGAAAATCGTGATTAATCATCCCTGGTAGAGCAACTATAGGTTATATAACCTTTTATGTTTCAATAGCACATTTTGCATTAGTTGACTAGTTGTTAATTGCATTAGTGACGACGAAATTAATATTCCATTATCGATCAATAGAAAAGTTTTGGCTCTAAATAGTTTCAAGTGCTTTTATGTGATGAAGTTTTCAAAAATCTTGATATGGTTATATTTTTTATGCTGACCTTACTTCTAGGTTTGAAACTTGTACTAATATCGTACAAATTTAATTAATTAGATGAATATCGAGTATCCGCAAAAAAAAAATGAAACTTTTCTTTTCATAGTGGGTGGATGGATGGGAACTAAATGGCCAGGTGTGGCCAGCGGACGCTTGGGATGACGATAGAGTTGTGGAATCATGTGACACTCGACCCCAGAGAAAACTAATCTCCCGTCAAAACGCAGCACTCGTACAGTATCGGGTACCAGCTCAAGGGAAAGGTTTTGCTGTCACCATACGGCACTTGCGAAACCCTAGACGTAAGAATATCACTATTTTATGTACTTAATTGGAATGATAAATTAGCTGACGGCCCACCTGATGGTAAGTGGCAACCATCAACTACATATATACATGAGCAGCACTACAGATACCACGTATACAGATGATAACTGCGATACCATATGCAGACTAAGATTTCATTGTCTAATCTGTATCCTAAAACTAAAACACAGTGTACAAACCAAACTGCTTAGTGGCTGGAATAGGTGAGACAGAGGTGGAGGGATTGAGATGTAGGTGACACGAAGTCTACCTGTGTTATTTTATTATATTATATTATAGTTGATCTTTAATATGTAAGGTAATGGTATATAATGTGTTAAGACACATTGAAATAGGTAATTCAATGTGTCTAAATATTATTGGATGTATTGATAGTTCGTTCTAATTCATAATTAAATTTTGCATTACATATCTCAATTAAAATAATAGCCACTGCATTTATTTTCAGCATGCAACGTTATGTTATTCGGCGCTGAAGGCGTGTATACGCTACGTAACCATGGTGAAACAGGGAACTGTTCGATAATTGCGGTATCACCTGCCACAGTAAAGATATTGGATCTTAATGTGGGCCAAGCACTGAAGAGAGGCAGCCTTCTGGATATTGAAACTGGAACTATACATCATGTAAGACAAATTTCTTGTTTTATTTGAAAGTAACTATTATTTTTCGTTAAGTATTTTTCAGTTCTCGTTACCTATATAAGGAACGTCTGAATGATATTTAGTCGTTCTATATTCAGAATCTTGAACATTCTATCAACTACATAATTTTAAATTTATCTTGGTTAAATTAATTGATTATCTTAACAAAATTGTTATTATTTATACTAATATTCTATACTAATGTTTTAATATTTTATACTAATGTTCTTATCCAGTAGCAGCAGATCTATTATATAAAGTAGTAACTTAAAACTTTAACTAACTTTTTGCTTTTTATGTGATACTATGAAGATGTCTACCAAAAATAAAGTCAGTAATTTAATTATCCAACATTAAATATTATTATTTACCTTCTCACTTCTCATAGGTACCTACATAAAAATATGTTGTATACCATATATACCGTATATTAACGATATAAAATTCAGTAATAAAATAATTGTACTTACGTTATTGACAATTTAAGAAATAAAATATGTATAATTTGATAATTTCCTCAAGTTACAAGCATCGGAGTCGTAGTTCATTTTGAATAAAACAAAATGTTAATTAGGTAATATGCATTCATTGAATTCTAAAGACAAAAAATATCATAGATATAATCAATATTGACTGGAATAAGAAAATGTAATGAAAAATCTAATATCGTGTCATATAAAAAAACAATATATTATCCAATATTGAATGATTATATGAATGAATGTATTGAATATAAATTATAACATTCGTAAAAATATCTTAAATAATAAGATTTTATTTTTAGAACTTTATTATATTGGCTTAACTTAGCTTCGCTTCAAATTCTTCCGGAAACAGTCAACATTTCACATTGATGGGTATACGATTATCAGAATCTTTCATTAGATCGTCGTAAATCTAGTTATAAATCGAATTACTTAACGAGGCCACGATTATTTTTACACACACTTACCCAAATTAGAATTATTTCACTGTAATTCTACACTAGACACAATTTATAAATGCTACACTGACTTTCTTGTTAAATAAGTAGATATAAAAATAAACACACCATTATTAGGTAAAATTAAAACAGAGAAAATTTTCAGCAATGATTTTTCTTATCTCTTAAAATATACCTCTAAATCCTTTTTTATAGTTTGAATATCGTAAATAATTTTGCTACCTGCTTATCGTAGTAAAATATAAAAAATACAACGTACATCATTGTATTTTTAGTTTATGAATAACACTATGTTTATTTAATATATTGATAACTGAACTAAAATAGCAGTAGATGCAATTTCATTTCTTTATTTTGTTACTAGCTGTACTCGCGACTTCGTCCTTGTGGAATTTAACTTTATTTTTTTTTATTTTTTTTTTTCTAAAATAAAGGTAGCCTAAGTTACTTCTTATTACATCAGCTACCTCCCAAAAAAAAGTTCCCGTTACAATCGGTCCAGCCATTTTAGAGATTAGGCGGTACAAACAAACAGACTGACCAAAATAGTAAGAATGTTATTTTATTTATTACAATATTACAAATATTGTGATAACCGTTTTTTTATACATGCATATGAATATAAATATAATAAATAACATACACCAAACACAGACACTCTAATTTTATTTATATGTATTGTTAACCTTTAAGACACCGAGATGAGAAACAACTCAATCACGACCAAAATGAATAATATGCCATTTATTTGTTTGTACAGTGTACAAAGCGGGGTTTGCCCGATTACGTGGAAATCGGTGGAGCTAGCGGTCTGGACCACACCAAAATGGAGGTGCTCGACAGTGTTTGCGGACTCGACTCTAATGAAGGTACCTAATACTCGTTCGATGTTTCATTACGAATGCTTGATTTCTTTTTCGATTATTATTCTTTGCTATCACTGTTTATCTGTATTTCTTTTCTTGAATATACAATAATGTCTAACTTCCATTTCTTATTAATAGCGTGTTAAACCTTAAAGTAGTAGTAGTAAACCTTAACCTAGTAAACCCCTACTAGGTCTACTGGCTAAGTTTATTATCGATAAAACCGTCAGTGGAGGTGGAGTTCTCTATTGATAAGCTCAACTATCTATTTTGATTAGGTAGAGAAGGAGAAAGAACTAATTCGCATGGTAATTTGAAGTATATGAAAAGTGTAGTATATAAAAATATAATAATTGGATTTAATTTTAGAAATGAACTACGTACATAGTCATAATTGCATTTCTCTGTAATTCAACTTCAATCACTTAAAGATATCATCGTGATCCAATCTCTGAAATTGATTAAATGATCCTCCTCATAAATCTACTATCAATGTCAATCTGTTTGTCTATTTAAAAACTTTATTTTATATTAAATAGAATTATTGTGACTTCTATTCCTGCGTACACCTGGTTCTAATTATATAATTAAAAAGCTATGTATCAAATAGATACATAGTATTGGATTTATATTGAATTACTGTATATAATTTATAGAAATCAAAACCGTAGATAACAACCGCAGTCAAATATTTCGTTGCAAAATAAACAGATCAAACTTTTACTTTTAACTTATTTACGACACACACAAGAATCTAAGGTTGTTTCTCGTTAGTTAAGCAAACAACCCTGCTCAAAGTGAAACAAGCTAAATATTAATAACCTTTACTCATACACGTACCAGGAGAGTTCTGTTGAAGTATAATTTGAACTAGCTCTAAGTCATTTTTTGTTTTAATTCTATAAAGCATGCTTTAATATTCATTTATAAGAGTGAAATGTGTTCAATTAAATAATCGATTAAAATGCAATGTCTGTCAAAAACACTAACCAGACTATTTTAATTTGGTGGTGATTTAATGTATAGCAAAGATTCGCAATATCTTCTAATAATATTTGTGATATAATGTGGCTATATATTAAACAAGTATACCAAAAATTACCCTTCACTTTTTTAATTTATCCTTCAAAATAAGTTAACTAATATTTGTTGGAAAATTAAGATCCACGGCGATTTTCACATAAAAGATTCTACCTAAATCTCTAACAAACTGTTGATGAAACAATCCCAAACCAGTTAACGTTGTTTAAATCCCTTATTGCTAAGTAATATAATAATAATGAACTCCGTAATACGGCGGTAATGGATGTTTCTTTGTGTAGAGAATTTGAGAATTTAGATAACATTTTTTTTTCTGTACAGTGTAAGTTAATTTAAATCAAAGTCAACAAGTAGTCGTTCCTTTCCAAGGTACTCTTATTCTCGCCTCCTTCATTTATTTAGTTTACTTATGTAAATGTTCTTAAATATTTTAAGCACATTCAAGATAATATTTATTTTGTTTAACCGCAATTTTATATGTTGTTTTTGCGTTGTTCTTTTAATTTATTACAGAATCAAGTTATTTACCAGAAACTACATATATATTGTATATATTACTGTAAATAGAATATTATGCACCTTTTAAGGAATAGTGTAGTTCTACACTATTTGATTTATAGTATAATTTCAACTTCAGGAAGTTAGATATTATGACTTAATGGAATGAACTTAACTTGTTTTGACGGTTGTCTCACAGTTTTCCTAATAGGCTTGATAGGAACGTTAGGAAACATTAGGTTCAATTCATCTAATTTGACTGTATTATTAATAATTAGAGTATTAATTAAGACATTTAATTTTAAATATGTACAGGTCGTCGTCCTGCATATGTGGCTTGTGAAGATACTGTTGTGAGACTGGTTTCTAAAGGAAAATTCTACAACTCCGTAACCTTGGCTTTTGCACCCCTTCCTCTTGAAGAATTAGAACACGCTGACTTAATTTGTGGAATGAACGACTTGTAAATTTATAATCGAAACTACTACTGCGGCACAATTGTTGTAACTTATTTTTAGTTACTTAAGTTTTATTATTTCTTTTATTAATATATATATATGTATACTCATCGTTTATTATTAATTTGCTGTATACTTTTAAAACTACTATAAGTAATATATTGCATAATACATTATTATGTTCATATTTTCACAAATACAAAAAGTAATAATCGTGGCTCACTGTAAGGCTGTCAGAGAGCCGGGTAAATATTAGTAATTTAAGTACTTTTTATGCAAGCCAAAGCAATCGTATAATATTTATGCAAATGTTACACATCTTTCTAGGCTTTGTTACGATTACATACATTTTCATTATAATGTAAAGGTACGAATAAGCGTAATGTTCCGTAATTGGGTATTCCGCATTTATCTTATTTTATTCATGTTAACTAACTGACTTTGTACCTACTCTCCGTTTTTTGTCAATAATATATTTTAATATGAGTGTGCTGTGTCATGTTTATAACTATTCGCGCGAAGAAGATATGATTCTCTAACATATTATATAGATATATAGAGATAGAGGTATTAAGTAATAAACATTCCATTTTAGATATTTAATTTTCAGTAGGCAATTCTAAAATGTGACTATAATATCAAATAGATTGATATTTTTAGGTGTGTTAAATATAATTTATCCATAAATGATACTGAATACCGTATAGTTAAGATTAATGTATTTAGGTAACTAGATTTTGGAATTGTTAATAACTTTATCTAGTCATTATGCAAAGTTAGATTAAACTCAATACCAACACCTTAATGCCCCAAATACTTGTCAATAAATGAACATTATCTGTTTGATTGTTTTATTTCATTTATATAAGTACTCATCCCTGAAACGATGATTTATTAAAAAAAATACTACATAAAGTGCCTAGTTCTGGAAGAATAGTTTAATATCTACCGTCTTATTACTAACTCTACTTATAAAAACAGTTTATTATAAGGGGTCAAAGCTATTCGATAGAATAACTTACAGATCTACGAGTAAAACTAAACAGAAACGGAAAATTTTTACTCGTGTAGTGCACATATTGAAAAAAATAGATTTCAAAGTTGAAAAGTAAATACATTTCTCACGACTAATGCATCCTATATATCACGTGTTCAATATGAGAACGTCTGGATTATAATATTTTATTAAATTAAAGTATTTATAACAAAATAGCTGATACTACTTAACACGCCATCTGTATATGAGGTTGAATATTACTTTCGTCCAAGCAAGCGAGTCAATGTACCCCTTTAAAAAGTGCTGAGAAAACAGAATTACTTATTTGCATACATCCATATTTCACTACTGAAATGGTTACCTTTTCGTCTATTCATTGAAACACAGATAGCAGTACTTGCATTTTTTGTAAGCAGGTATTGTATTACATAGTCTCACCTAATTAGTGGCGAAGTATCGAATTTATTAAAAATTTATTACTTTTATGCTTGTATCAAATGGAATTCACAAACAATATATATCTTTTTTCTATTTTATAATTAATAGTACCTAATTGATTCATAGTATAATCAAAAGTAGACTTTAGAGATTAAAATCAACATACATTTTTAGTATGAACTCAGAGATGGTGATGGTGTCATACAACACGGTGATGGACAACATGGTGACATATTTGTCATATGGTTCGTAGAATATTAAATAATAGAAATCCTGACCAATCGAGTGGAACATGCTCTTTTATGCATTTTGGCAGTAAGTTGTAAATAATGAAACAACTTATTGTTTGTGTATTACTATATAGAGTGTTGCCATTCTTGCTCAATATTGCTCATTCTTGCTCTTTGTATCCTATAATTTCACATTTTAATTTAACTGTCAGAATTAAATTATTGATCTATGTCGAGTCCTATAAATCCTTGGAACACAACAGAAGTGACTTTTCATAAAGACTCTATGTTAATTTATTAAAACTACTTCGCAAACAGCAAATAAAAGTCCAGTTTTAATTAAACTTTATTGAGTAATTTCCTGATAAGATAAGATAATAATTAAATATGTAAAGCAAAACATTATAACTATTGTCTAACATATTCAGATAAAAATATTGATTGTTCTCACTACAGTGAAATAAATCTTCGTGCAACTGTACAAACGAATTTACACAATGTCAAAATCCTAATAAACATCTAATTAACTGACATAATACATTCAAATTCTATGAGTTAATGATTAATATATTTTTCTAGTTATTTGAAAATTATGCGTACACATATTTTTTATAATAAAAGAGTTATGCGAGAATTAAACTTAGGGAAAATGAAGAATCGCCTACCACAAAGCTTTACAACAGCACGCAGTGAGTTAGGTACGTTCTATTCACACTGGCCCTATATCACATTATATTGTATACTAATCAATGACTCTTTTTATCATATACGGCCTTCTCTGTAATTCATACATACACATTGTCCTTCAACTTATTAGAATATATTCATATGGTACAAGTATGAACAATACGTATCTAACAATTTAAAACATTGTTATACAGATATTGTCAACGTCATTCGCATTTCAGTTGTATTTAGTACAAAATCAATAAGTGTACACTCATATTTGTATACATAATATATTAAAATTAGCACCTAATTTGTAAAGCAGTAACTACTACAATGTTTGCATAATGGATGAAGCTTCGTTACGTAATTAACATTGAACATTTATTTTATCTAACAAACAATACCATTCTCTTTCTAATTTCCTACACATAAAAGAGTATGACATAAAATATACGTTGAAAATCTTCCTTTAATAGCCTGCTATTCCGTGGTAATTATATATTCTTTTATTTAATACGTGCATTTGACAAATCGTTATACTCTCTTAATAATACTGCATTATATGATCAATACCCATCTTTGAGAAATCCAGTAATATGTTACATGAATTTACTATATGGCAATCACATTCAATCTATTAACTAATATTAAATACATATATTCTAAGCTACATCTAATGAGTAACTTATTCATAGAAGTTCTATTATGTAACATTTAAACATTTTTATTAGTCAAAATATTGGAATGTTATAGGTATGTAAGAAGTTTAGGCCTTAACTTAATGTAAAATATTTATGAAAAAAAGGGAACAGGAAACATTACATAATGTAAAAAAAATTAATGAAGACCTAAACTTGATCAGGTAAATAACTTATAATCAGCATAATCTGATAAAACTATAGATAGATAGAACTTAATATTTCTATACGTTTTAAAATTATAAGACCAAAATTTTTCAGTTTTCAATAGAATTAATTAAATTTTAGAAGATTTTTTTTTAACTATTATTTTAGAAGAAAACATCTATTACATGAATTTTAAAAACATAATATATTAACATCAGTATGTTTTTATATAATAATGTAGCAGACAAAAAGAACATTGACTACTATCTTAAAGATTACATTCATTAATTACATCAGTTTACATCTTAAATTTATCTAATTAAAGCTATCCCATACAACTTCTTAAATTGTGCTTACATAATTCGACAAGAAAGCGTGTGACGTACTTTTGCTATGTCCGATAATATTATTATGGCCTCTGTCGTTAAGCAACAACTGTTTCTATGGGTACACATCCGTATTTCTCAGCTAATTCCCTGAGTTTCCTGGCACAACTACAATGCGTTTAGTTGCATAACATTATATATACGCGTTACATTTATTAAGTGTATAATAAACATATCTCTCTCCCTATTGAAGGTATGTATCTATTTTATGCGAATGCCACCTAAAAGTAAGTGTATGTAAAACTCAGAACTAATTCTGCCTTACATTTAGGTACATTATGGTGTACTAATGATATATCACTCAAGCCAAACAATGTCCACCATTTAACGTAGCATTGACAAGAAGTAGTACCTAGATATATCATTGTGGATTATATATTGTTATATTGTGGTACAGGATAAAAAGAACTTTAACTAGGTAATCTTTAATCAATGTAGATACATGTTCAATATAGTATTGTAGTCCTGAAAAGACTTGGAAGTGATTACTTTTTTCTAACCTTCACATTATTTTTCACTCTACATGCATATATATTAATTTTAATATTTAAAGTCAATCATATAATTATTGATTGGTGACATCATTAGTATTTCTTACAGACTCCAATGAAAACTGGACGCGTACCACAAAGATAAACGTTACATGAAGTAAGATACGACACAAGACTACTTTGTGCTAATATTTTTATGCACTAAACATTGATCTATATTTTTATGTAATGTGAGTTCAAATTAATATAATCATCTACATGCTAATGGCGTTTCATACTTCAATGCAAAATATTTGACATTTACTTATAGAGTAGACTAACCTTTTCCATCATGATCCCAATACATTCCAAGACACGCCCAAGGATAGTAATTGACAATCGCATATAAATATTTAACGCTAAGTGTTTCTTTAGTATAAATTTTATTTTAAAGTATAAAACATTCTATTTAGGTAATTCATAAGATACTTTTCACTTAAAGCATTATTAAGCTACAGATTAGGTAGGACCAGAATAGAGATAGACTCAAATCAAACTCAATAAATAATTTACTCAGTGTAAAATTGAGATAAATATACTAATATTTGTATATATAGGATACCTCTTTTAAATTGTAAGATTTTGTAAAAGTATTAAGGTAGATAAGTGAAAAACTATTTCATTTATAAATATGCTTCAGCCTTGGCGAAGTAATCTGCCTTTAATTTTTACGGCTAGAAAATACTTAAGTCTACGACGCGCATGAGGAATAACAAGATGTTTCATTGGCATCAACGCGAACGGCAGACTTATAATGTTTTCTAACTACAACTGTACACTAATATAGATCATTTTTCTTGGCAATTACATTGTAAAAGTTTGCTGCTTTTCAAGCTCTTTGGTAAATAGTAACAATGCAATACACTTTCAGCATACATCGAACAAGTAGCTATACGAGACAAACATTACGTTCATTAGTGTTTCTTTGTTAAAAAATATGTATGCCATTATTACATTATATACGTACACGAGTAAGTCTATATAGTGTTTAATATATTGCGACTTATTCATAAGAAGGGATTTATTTACAAAATATAGGTACTATTATCTGTTCAAAGTCATAAGAATTTGGAGTTCATAAGATCCTCAAGTGGTACGAATTAATAGCTTCCTAAGTAGTAGTAAATGTACCTAAATATATTGATAAAAATTCGTCTCACAGTATACGCTCGACTTATATTCGCTTTATCAATATAAAATTCTAAAATTTTGCTACAATAAAGATATGTAATTTTTGCTATTTAAGCAGAGGCACATGTTGATATGTGAAGTGATATCCCACGTTGTGTGTGAAAGCATGGCTTCAACAATCAAAGCTGACATATAATTTTCTAATGTTAATACAATAGATTACACACACATACTAAGGATATTAACCTGTCATATTTTCTTATTTTTATTAAACATTACAACATGAAACGAAATATTATAATATTTTTGTTACAATTAGATCAAACAATTAAATGAACTACTACAGGAACCTTTTAAAAAAACAACTTCTATTAACACAAGTAACATCTTTCTACATTATAAATATATTATTATATAATTTCAAATCAACATATCTGTATAATAGTTTGAAACAATGCAGGTATTGTATGTATACATTAATAATTAATTTACGTTCTTTCAAGCAATATCATTAAACATTGGATACATTCAGAATAATAATAACCATACATTACAAATCTTGTATACAATTACCACCAGTTCATATTTCTTTCCACCTCCATTTCCCGTTCACGATCAATAATTCGATTTTTCTTATTAAAGTTCAGTATCCAAACATAGTTTCTTCTCTTCTTTATAATCCTAATAAATTCTATACCCACGAAACACTTCCTAAAACTGTAAATAAATTTTACTATAAAATAAATCCCCTAAAATTCCATATAACTACATTGTACTAAGCACATTTTATATTCACTGTCTTCAAAAATATACTTAATAACGTTTGAGCTAGAATATAAATTACAATGTGACGGTTGTAGCGAGAGTCGTAAGCAGCGCTATAGGCAGCGTAGTTCCGGCTACACTACTGTAAGGACCTGTGACTGCACCGTCGCATGGAACGTGCTCCAATTCTGAAACGGACATAAATGTTATTTAGAAATAGAAATAATCTTTATTCAAATAAACGCAGTACAAGCTCTTTTGAATACAATTTTTTTTTCTGCCATTCATTCGGAACGAAGTTTTATCATAAGAAACTTTTTGCTTTATGAATAGACTAGCTGTACCCGCGACTTCGTCCGCGTAAATAATGAAAAAATATTTAACACAATATAAGTCAAATAAATAAGTTTCATCGTTTTAGCTTTAAACACCCTTTCAATCCTCTTGCAACCATTTTTCTATCTCAGGATCAAAATGTCTGTTTCAAATATTTAAATGTTATATTTAAACACACTTTCACATTTACAATATAAGTAAGGTACTTAATAAACTAACTCTAAAAAGACAAAGAAAAAAGTTTAATCGTTTAAGCTTCCACAACCACACAAACAGCAAATTTCCACAATAACTTTCATTCCCTATTTTATTTTACTACCCCCCCCAAAATTTTACAAACATTGAATGACATATTTATTCTAAAAATAAAGTTTTAAAAAATATTAGTATTATAATAAATATGTATTTTCATTTAAATTTTTGTTTTGTTTTGGAGCGTAAGACTGACAGAATGACAAAGAGTTACTTTCACAGTTATAATTTTTCTACAAAAGACCAATGAAAATAGTTTCATCGTTCTAGTTTAAAAAATACGAATTTAAAATAAATACGTAAGTAAATTTTTTACAAACAATGAATGTCTTTTGTATCTAAAAAGATTTGTATTTTGATATACCATAAAACGCCATGAATTTTTTACAAACAATGAATGATCAATCAAATCAGAACAATATTAAAAATTGCACCTATTTTACTTTAATCAAACAATGATGCAATCCGATGTGCACTTCAAAAAGCGGTTTATCTATTTTACGTACAAACTCGAATGTCATATTATTTATCAATATCTTTTATTGATTCATAATATTTTTTTGGGGTAATATACAAACAATGAAATATTTTATATTCAACAGCCTCACAACTAAGTTTCAAGCCTCTAGCTTAAAAAATGGTGTAATAAAATGACTAACCATTAAGGGTAATTTTTTACATACATTGTTTATTCAAAATATTTCATTCCAGCATTAAAAAAAGTCCGTTCTCAGGTCTGATGTATACCAAATTTTATTCAAATCGGTTGTAGTTGTGGCGTGAAAGCGAGACAGACAGACGAGACAAATAGAGCGCAGCAGGGATTTTTGTCGCAGCACAAAAATATATTTTTGTGGGTACAAACCAACCATCTAAATAATTTAAATAGTTTCATAATATATGACACAATGTAATTTATTTTATAAAAAAGACAGTTAGTTTTTATTTTAGTGAAAAATAAGAAAATGCTATTTTGATACAACAACCATATATTTATTAATACCTATACTTTATTAATTTTGTGTTAATGCTTTTTAAATAAACACCCACACATTATTTCTGAATAACCTACAAAAATGGGTAACTAATTTAATTTCGGATAGTGCCACACCACAACATTATTTAAAAAATATAAATAATAAAATGTGAAGAAATTGTGATTGTTATTAAGTTTTTTTTTAATAAGTTCGTCAGAACAGAGAAACAACATTTGACATTGGACATTGACTTTAATTTTTGTAATTTATATTGTAAAACTTTAAGTTGGGCTAAAATTTCCTAAAAAGTTTAAAGAAAAACACATACATATATACGATTTTACATATAAATGTCAAAAAACAATATTTTCTAAAATGATGATTTTTAGTAAACACGCGATGTGTTGTAATATAGTGGTGTGAACTGTATATCCATTTTGATCCCCTTTCAACCCTTTTTTCGCATTAAAAAAAGGTTTTCTGATATAGTGAATTTGATACTAATTTAATTTTTATTTTTTATATTGGCGACATCTTTAAGTTAACATTACTTTTGTATCTAGATTTGTATTTTGATATACCATAAAACGCCATGAAGCGATACAAATCAGAACAATATTATTACCTACTTTACTGGCAACGTTGAAGTTATTTATCGTTTATCGTCTATCTTTTACTATTACATTAAGTAGTAAGACATCCAGTGTATGTGTTTAACTAAGACAACTTTTATTATAAAAATATATATACACTTGTAAAATAATGTTCTTATTACGAATGTTACTTATAATTTTAAACTTATTTAAAAAATATTATACTTATCACATTTATATGAATTTGTAATATTTCGCATGTTATAAGCTATTAAACTTAAATCTATCATTAGATATTACGTGCATGTAATAGTCATATTTGCATAATGCATAAATTAAGACGAGCTATATATTAAAAATATAAACCACATCGTAATAACAACCTGGTCATTAATTATAATAACAATACATTATATTTATACTTAATCAATTTGTGGATATTTTAGGAGTCAATAAACAGTTAATGTCTCCGTGTAGGTATATGTATAAGTATTTCTTATTTGATATCGTTTCTTTATATATTTGTAACGAAACAAGATTACTTCGGAGAAATTCCTCCTATCGCCTTGTATGAAAAGGCAGAATCGATAACTTCATTATCCGGTATTGGGTTCGTTAGGACACCTTGCTTGCCTTCAGCTAAGCTTATTATTATTTTATGTACACAGGTAGGTATCACATCGAATTAAATATTTCCAACAAAAACGTTTCATGTTGACAAATAACAACAAGTTATGAAGTAATATTACCGCATTATCACACAAAGAAGATACCTATATATAACATAAACAAAAACAGACCAAAAATTATACATAAGGAATAATGAAGAAATTTATGAAAAATACCTACACACGTACATTTGTATTTTGATAGATTCTATGCTGGCCAGACTACGGAACTTTTTCTTTGAAGATATACTTTTTCAAACTATTATAATTACTATTGACCGTAGCTGGCCAGTACAGCTTCACTGAATAATACAATACAAGCGCAAATCACACTCCAAAATCGCGCCCTCGCGCCGCGCCAAGGACTGAAGCCCAACTTCTGTCTGACGAATACGACTATGATCTGGGGGCCCCGGATTGCACCCCGGCTTAGGCCGTCGCAATTTCGATTGGACGGGGAAGTTACATATTGATACGTAACAAGAATCAAGGATATGGATTTCTAAGAAGATAACATTAATAGAAAAAAATAATCGCTGGAATTAAAAAACGACAAATAGTAATAATACATAGTTACAACAAAACACTACGAAGTTAATAAAATATTAGTTAATATTAGGTATCTATTTACTCACCCAGTAAGAGCAAATCTGGTGAAGGACTGCATGATGTGAGCAGCCAAATCTCGTTCTCTTGTGTGATACTGTAAGGACATATTCAATGGATGTCCAAAGACATATTCCATTTCATCTCCATGCATAACTCCCATCCATTCGCCCCAAAGGCTGGTACTAGTGCGCTAAACAAATAAACATTGAGTGTAAATTAAAAATGGAAATTAGAATATTTTATTAGTAATAATTGAAGTGTAAATATAATACAATAGACGACGAAATCATGCGCACACGGCATTTAAGTCATAATTAATTTAGATATATTAAGTTGAATATCTACTCAAAATTCACGAACCTACATTAAGAAATATCTGAGTTATGTGCTCAAGAACCTATCGACATATTTACGTTACTTCAATAAAACAATTTTGCATACTTTTATTAATTCAGAATAACTTCCTATATTCCTATTCCTAATATTCCTCTTTGCATGAAACTATCACACTGCCTATAAGGAAATCATGGTGAATACACTCGGTTAACTATTTTTTCCAATTATCTATATTCTCGCACATCTTTTATATTCACGACGTAGACCCATTTATTTATCCAAGGCTATCAAAGCTGAAAGTTCTATTTGATGTAGAACGCCAAGTTGCGCATTGTCCAAATGGCTTGCGTGGCTATATCGTAAAATATCTTGACTTTTGTCAAGGACTCAAAACCGACCGACTTTAATCGTAGGTACTTTAATGCAAAATGAAGCACTATAGTGGCCTTGTTATATTGATTATTCTATTATAGCAATTGTAATAGCCCTATAAACACAGCAGTTATTGTACAAAAGTACAGTTGACAATAATAACAAAGCAGAAAGAAGTCATAAAATATTACAATAGATCATTACTTATCAGTATATCAGTCATGTAAAATATATATATTATAACCGGAGACAAAAAGCCAAATAAAGCCGCGAATGGATTTTCGCCATTAATTTTAAATACATATTAAATTAATGTAAACGCTATACTAGATAATTAATGACTGTAAAATATAAAAAATAATATCAAGATGATAAGTAACTAGGTATATTTCTTTCCTAATTTTGTGAGTGAGTGAAGTGTTTGTGAAGTGAGGACATACACAGGTAAACAACCTGATTTCCTACGCCCTTCCCTTTTTCCTTGACGCGTATTTATCTTCAAACTTCTATTGAATTAGGACTGGATGTTTTTGATGACTAAAATGTGATTTATTATTAAATATATTTTATTAATAAAAAAATATATTATAGTAATATTTTTATGAACTTTATTATTTATTATAAAAAAATAGCTGAAATTGGTGGATCTTATTTTTATTTAGGTATATAAAGGTTTCAGAAGAAGATTTAGAGTTGATTTAAATGATTTGTTTAAAGTCTTTATATACAGCAATAAAATAGTATTTTATTATTATCTTACTACTACTTAAATATAAATACCTCATACTCTTTACGTATACTTTTCATTACAATATAAAGACAGTACTCACTCGGTAATAAGTAATATTTCCTTCTAATAACAAAGTACCGAACGGGAAGTAGTAGTAACTTTGGTTGGAATTGATATGACATTATTATACCCATGGTCGCGACCTTTACGTGTTATTTAAGAATCTATTATAAACTTGTAAGCGTTAACATAGTAATTTTTGTTATAGGAAAAATACTACTATATACTTATATAGGTTTTACTGCTACATAATTCGACTCGAGCGTGAAGTAGATAATAAAAACCTTTTATTAAGAAAGTCCACCATTGTAATCATTAATATCTTAAGAGCTTTTATCTTTTACCTTTCTTTATGTACAATGGACTAGTATAAATAATTCTTGTATAATACGGAATATATTTTATAATGATAGTTCTCTACTCACTCCACTGTTGAAAATATTACGCCTTTTGTTTTATAGACTAAAATCTATATGATACATAATAGCAATACGATATATTTAGCAAGATAAGCGAGCGAGAAATACAATAGTTTTTCATTAAAGGACTACAAATAACGTAATATAGAAATAGAAATAAATTTTATTAGAATAAACATAATATAAGCACTTTTGAATATTTTTATTTTTATAATTCTACCTCTTGTTCGGAAAACAGTGTCATCATAAATTATAAGAAACTTACATGTTACTTTTTTAAATGAATTTTATTCAGCATTAAATGTTTAAGATTTTGCGTATTATATTTAATGTATTGTTCCTGATTACCACATATACATTTTGTTTAATGAAAATTAAAAGAATTCCTCCTGTGCTAACGGTATACACAGGGTTAGCAGTATTAGTTAAGCAAGAAGTCAGATTTGGCCGATCGTATCGAATTTATTAGGTAATTACGATGGTCTCTGGAAGGACCTGATATGGTACATTGCTGGCAGTAGGAACTCTAGTCTTTATTACTAAGATTCCCAACACACTGTCTATACTTATTATTGAATTAAATCATACAACTTTATACAAAATAAGGGGTGAGATAAAACAGCATTCATACGACTAAAAGCATAATGATCAATGAAAACGATTCTGGCTTGTTCTGTTACTTGAAAGAAATTAAAAACGTCTCATTTAAAAAAGTCTTAAATTAGTACTCAGTCCACTTAGTAAGGTTTTTGAGTTGGGCATTAAATTAAAAGTTCATTTGGTCCGCTTAATAATGCAAGCTGCTCGGGCGAGCCAACTTTATGCGTCGTCATGTACCTCTAATATATGTATGTACACACTCGTAGTACAACCTCGTAAAAGGTCAGCTCGCATAAAATGTATAACATTTTGTATAATTTTATTACGATGCACTGTTTCGTGTAGTTTTTATAACTTTACAAACGCTTTTATTCGTTCATTGCAAAAATATTAAATTTATGGTGTATTTTAACTAAAACCTATACATTTAAATAAATTTAAGGGAGTATATAGTAGTACATAATATATATTTTAGATAGCTAGTTAGATTTTAATGACAAACTTTACTGAACAGAAATACACAAAAAAAAATACACAGAAAAAAGGAGAATTTATAACAAAAAACCAGAACTTAACTAATATTCTGTAAAATTGTTTAAAATAGGTTGAGCACCGTTATGTAATAGAAATAGAAATAGAAATAGAAATAATCTTTATTCAAATAAACTTAATATAAGCACTTTTGAATAGTCAAGTTTTTTTATTTTACCGCTTATTCGGAATGCAGATTCATCACAAGAAGAATAAGCAAGAAACTTGTGTGTTGCTCTTTTAAATAAATATTGATTTACTTATATTTAATTAACAACAAGGATTAGGCATGCGACAATCAACATAGAAACCGCACCGCAACGCACTTAATCTCTGTTCAATCAGATAACATTGTAAAATTTTAAGTTAGATATTTTCTACAAAAACATTATTATCATTTATAAATTAGAAAGAAACCTGTTTAAATTACGATAAAATTGTAATGAAAAGTGATCTTTGCTATACGATATTTTTAACATATGATAGCTAAATTATGATTAGATGTTATTGCAACTGCATATGTCATACATGAATAACTAGGTATGTGAAGTAATTAATTGATTGTTTTACTTTTAATTAACATACCTCTTGGCTTGAGTACGTCGACCAATTTTTATATAAACTTACTGAATATTACACCATTCATAGAAATTAAAAAAAATAAAAATCCGTTTTGTTTTTTTAGGATAATCCGTTTATGGTCCGACGAAGTAAATTAACATCCACATTAAATTGCGTATTAACGAAGAGAATTGGTATCAAAGTAAGTATATTACTTACTTTGATACCTTACTTTTCTTTCTGTATTTTGATGTTTTATTTACATTAAAATACAGAGAGAAAATTTATAAACGATAAAAATTGAGGTTTTAATATCTCTTATTAAGTTTAAATATTTATTGATAGCTTCTAAACGTTTACAATATTAACAAGGGAAGTGATTCAATCCCGAGTCACGTTAGCTGAAGACTTTCGTTTTCGCCCTAATCGTACTTTTGGAAGAAACACGAAAACAGGTCAAGGTTAAACAAGTTAAGGACGTTAAATAGCTAGCCTAAATTAGATAAATGTCTTTGGAATTAAAAGGTAGTTAAAAAAACAATTTATGGGGTCTTACAGTCATTATGATCAAATAGAAGAAAAAAGAATGTAATACAATATACGTGATTTGATGGACGATTCCTACACTTAAACTTTTGTAAATATCAAATGATTAATTATTATAATTAAGACCTACAGATATAGGACTTACTTTCGAATATACGAAGAACGTTCCTATAGATGAAGATAAAGGTGATTTCCATACTTTTATATCCACTCATATTTACTTGAGACGTTTACAAATTTAATAACTAAGATCGATTGGGTTTGCTATTTTCTTTCGAAAAATTATACAACAACAACACAACACTTACAACTTATATAATTTTTCAGTTCCCAACAGCCAAATATTGGAATGTAAATGCAACTAAAGTCTTACCTGATAATAAGAGATAACCGTCCCCTATATATGTATATATGAACGACACTACCGATATCACGCTATAAAATGACGCTCAATGCGATCACCAAATCATTGAAATTCCGTATAACTAAGATGTCATGACTCTTAACCTGTAATTTTAAAACTGTAACATAGCGTATCTACAAAGTAAGCTGTTTAACAGCTGAAATAGGTAAGACTAACATGGGTACGCAGGCAACCGTTTACAGCCTGCGAAGAATGCGTTTATTTCAAAACTATAATACATTTATCAGTAAAATATAATACATCGGTTTGGACTTGTTACTGTAGTTGTTATTTTAATACTTATTTTGATATAAACTATTCCTTTCCCATTACATTTTAACAACTTAAGGTATATGAATCGTATTCTAAACCTCCTGAATTATATGAAACCTTAACACACAAACAGGGTTTCGCCTCGCTATAATATTAGGATTTTATTATATGTAAAGATGTACTTGTATGTGGACCATCGCTAGCAAATGATTACTTGTCTATATAGATACATATACACTCTGTTTAGATGCCCACGTTTTCCAAATATGTACTATTTGTATATGTGGTCTCGGGCACTTATCAACTTTCTTGTTCACAAAGGTATGACTTAACCTTCGACCTTTGAATTGTAAGCGTAA